CCGAAATTTATTTTGAACGTCTTACTATGTACATAAATAGTTACTAATAAATAATTCCATCATCATTATACGTTTCTTTTTATTTATATATAGTGACAAACGATTCTATTGTTAACTGGATTTCCTTTTTGCGCGATAATATACTTGTCCATAGACCTAATGAGTACTACGATGCATGCAATTGTTTAAATGAAAGAGTGATTTCAAGTCATAAAAAAATGTTTAAGAGTAAGAAATGTTAAAGAGTAAAAAATGTTAAAGAGACTTAGTATCTTCGAAGGAATTATTTAAATTGTTTCTGTCGTCATCTCCTGCAATCATTTCCTGCAATAAAATATATAACACATAATTATAAAGCAGCAATTGACGTTGAATATTGTAAGGTAATAGGCAGATATAACATTACCTGCAGCACTTCAACAAGTGCCCTTGTCTCATTCAGCATTTCTCTGTAAATCTGCTTTTCTTCTTCTAATTTTTGGATATGCTCTGAGAGTTGCTTGTTTTTTTCTAGAACATTACTAAGGGCAACGCGCCTCCTTTCAGCCAGGATCCGCCAGTAATTCTCGCTAATGTCAGTTAAATCTGAAAGAAAATATTTTAATAAAAAATCCAGGCCTCTGGTATATTCTGGCTTTTAACGCCCAATTTCACCAAACGTCGTTTAACTTCAATCTGGGCTTAATTCACGTTTGTCTCTTTCTAAAGTAACAGTTGAAAAGAGGCAAAGAGCGAATTAAGCTAAGCTTACAGTTAAACAACGTTGGTGAAACCGGGCCTTAGAAAGACAAGAACGAAATATTATCTTTAAATATACCTGTGCATGTTAAATCCTCAGGTCTAATTTCTACATCTTCCTCGGGTCCAGTTTGGACAGCTTTGTCATTCGTCACCTTCTTTCGCTTTTTAGAAACCTTTTTCATTTTTGTAGGTATATTTCTAAAATGTGTACAGGTTTAACGTTTAGTTTCTTTACATGAAATTTCTCTTAAAGTAACGACTCTATAAGAGATGACTTTTTCGGTGTATTCTTTGAGACATACTCAGCAATATAAATACTTTTTACAATCTCTTTATGGTTGAACGAGAGAAAAGTGTTAACTTACTTTTTAGATTTTTCCTCTTTTGTTTGTTGAGTAGACGCGATCATTCTGTCCGCGCCTACTAATGTTTCCTTATCGGTAGCGGAGGGCTGCAGTTCGTGCAAACATTTTCGAACCTTATCCTGCTTTAATCGAAGGAATCATTACAATATGTTCATAAATGACTTCATGTATTTTACACACAAGTGTTATACTATTTTACACATTATTTCTTTATACATTTTAAACGTGTAATTAAACTATATTATCTTTTATTTACAGTACGTCGTGTACTGCTCCAGGAAGAATATCACGTACAATAATATACAGATGCATCTTTAATAAAATTTACCTAAATCAAGGTAACATAATTTTTCATGAGTAGTAAATCAATGGACTGAATAGCTGTTTCTATACTAACAGTAAGAAAATTTAATAAACTACAGTTTCTATTGCCAACACACTCGATTATTCTGTATGCGATGTTAAGGTTGAAACATCCTCTCGGAATGTAAATATAATTGAAGGAAACGACCTTCGGGACATTGTACTCAAGAATATAAATACCGAGGGGGAAACCGCTGAGGTCATTGTGGTGTACAGATTTGCGGTATTACCGGGCATTACTAGGGCATTTTGTCTTGCTGAGCCATTATAAAGATAAAATAAAATAAGATACAATAAGATAAAAGAAGATAATAAGATAAAGTAATGCCCACTGGGCATTAGTGGGCATTGGTGTACAAGATTTTGGTCAGCGATTTCCCCCTCGATAAATACATCGTAAAAACAATCTTTTCGATATTCCTCTTGTAGAAAATCAAGCGAGAGACTACTATTTATAATGTGAAATCGTGTTGTAACGTCACTTTTCTCGACGGTTTCGTATGAAAAGAGAAATAAAAACGTACTAACCTCTGAAGCGGTAGTCGTTGCGGCGTCGGTAATCGGTTTCATCCTGAGCCACAAAATTCAGAAAGGTTAGGGGAACTAGAACGGCTGCCAAAGGACTCGCGTCGCTTTACTCGTAAACTCCGATATCACAACGCAAATGTCGTACGAAGGGAGTTCAGTTAACTTTCCGAAAAGCAAGCAATCACGTGCACATCACACAGGGCTCTTGTCGCAGCTCGAACAACCGGTTTCAGAGATCAGCTGCTTGGCGGGAACCAGCGGGAAGTGCGGCCAGTGCGGGAACTGCCAAGCAGTGATCCCAGATGCGGGAATTGCGGGATTTCTGGCGCACGCGCAGTAGCGCAAGCCTTTCTGCCATGCGCATAGTAATCACGTGACTACCATGAAAGACATACAGGCAACGTGGGGGGTTTCTAGGAACCAGTGTTCTTTACTATTCAATTTTACATCGATTTTTTATTAAAACTCATATTAATGATTTATATATTATATAGAGCAGTTTATTAAACATTTACTTAATTGATAAAAAACTTTTGTACGATATTTCCTATACTCTTCTTGTAAGGGTTCTATAATCTAAACCCTTAAGTTAAGAAGAATTACGTATACGCTACTGAGCGGCTGCTCAAGGAGATTCTTAGGTCCATGTCGGACACCGATTCGACGATTATAGAGACGAAATTCTTTTCAAGTACTAACTCCTTAAATTTGACACAATCGTCTGGTGTCGAGTCATCACCCTTTATCGGTTCTATTCCTAATCAACATTAAAAGTCACTTAGAACTCCTTTACGAAGAAGTATTTAACGATGACAATAAGTATTTAAGAAAAAAAAACGCATTTATGCAGGGAAAAAAAGATACTTTTCTCTTACCGACGAGTTTAGCCTTTACTGCCTGATACGGCAATTTCATGAAATTGCTTTTCAACGGCTGCAAATTGTCGCGGGATATTATCGTAACGTCACCGTAGTCGCAGAAATATACAT